TTACCCTTGACCTCTGTTCTCCTTTGTGTTGTTAGAGTAACTGTAACAAACGGCGGAGGTTTGTGAACAGCTCCGCACGGCCCTCGGGAGCTTCTGGCTGATGCGTGTGTTTCCCGCTCCCCCCCCCCCCCAGTTTCTCTGGGAGCATGCGCTCCGCGCGGACCCCGTGGGGAGGAGCACGGGCTCGGAGGCCCTGCCGTCTGTAGAGAAAAACTGACGGTCACCCCAAAAATCAACAGGCAGCAATTTGGCTGAGTTCAGTGAAGAAAACACGGAGGTTTGCCGTAGAGTGGCGGGCGCCCCCTTCTCTCTAGATGTTGGTCCGGGGAGGTCCCTCTGTGTGGGTGACACTTGAGCCGGGACCTGAGAGGAAGGAGCCAGCCTTGAAAGTAGGGGCCGAGTGTCCTTCCTGGAGGTGTCACGTGGACTAAAGTTCAGCGGTGTGAGAAGGATGAGAGGTGAAGCGGGGACCTGTCAGGTAGCAGTCACGGTGGGGGCAGCGCTGAGACGCGAGGGGCGAGGGCCAGGTGCGGTTCAGGTCAATGCCTGAACTGGGGGGTGGGGGACAGGTAGGACTCGAGATTCCCAGGTAACCGACCTGGGTTCCTCGGGTTGGGAACAGGTACACAGGCTGCTGGTAGGGATCCCAAGTCCTAGGTGCTTGCTTGGGACCTGGGAACTGAGACATCCAGGTGGAGGTGACAAGGAGCCTTTACAGGCCAGTATGGAGTTAGGTGAGATAGGGCAGAAGCTGGAAGCCATAGCCTGTGGGTGCGATTTGAAGCGTGTGTGTGCGTGTGCGTGTGTGTTGTCGCTCAGTGCCCCAGCTTCCCACCTGTAATTTGAAATTGCCTGGGAGGGGTGTGTGGGGAGGGGACACCAAGGCGGGCAGGAGGCGGCTGTAATGCCTCGGTGACTGTTCCCTTGCCAAGAAGGCAGGCAGCTGGCCACCTGTGGCTGCAGGGTTAGGTGAGGCGAGCCAGCCAGGGAGGGGACCGCTGGGTTCCACATGGCTGTGGGCGAGGTGACCTGAGCATTTCCCACAGAGCAGGTGGCTTAGACAACAATGCAAAGTGACGGGGACATCAGGAAGAGAGAGGAGCAGGTCTGCAGACACGTTTTGGGGAAAAGTTGCCTAGGGAAGACATTTGTCGTCCGGTTTAAAACTGTTTTAACCTCGGCAGTTTCCTGTGTTCGTAGTTAGCAGCTGACATCTGCTGCTGGTTGCCATTTTTCTGACCGTTTGGTGCGCGGCGTTTCCCTGTGGGCATCTGCGCTCCGCGTTGGGACCTGATGATATACAGGCCTGGACTTGCCTCTGGTGCTGTGTCACCCTGAGAGGGTGATGCAGTTTTAAGCTGTTATTAAGTTTAGTTCCTGGTGTTCAAGCAGAACATTGATGTAGGGCTTTAGCATTTTTTACAAATAAAGTGAATGAACATTTGGACCTGGAGTTAGGTGGGGATTCAGGTTAGTGCACCAGGAAGTGTCCAGGATCTGCGCACCCAGGCGGAGCGCCATGACCTTACTGAGCAGTTGCGACAGGCCTGGCCACGCTGGTGGTAGCGGCCCACGAGCCGGAGCAGCTGTTCCGAGTGGGCGGGGGCGGTGAGGGGCAGTGAGCAGTGTGGCCAGGACCTCTGCGCCTCACCTGGCGCCCATCCGCCAGGGCAGTCCTGGCTCTTCACCCCGGGCACGCAGTCAGCCTGTCGTTTTCTACCCCGAGACGGCTTGGTCACATGGCTAACTTCGTCTTTTAAGACAGGAGGTAACCATGTATCTCAGTTTACCTTAGAGCAGGAGCAAGGTCTGTGCTTTGGGGTGGAGAGCGGCGCTGTGGCCAGCAGAGGGCACTGCAGAGCGGCCGGGGCCCGAAGCGTCCTGCGTAGGGCGCCTGGCGGAGCCCCAGCGGCTGCACTGGGAGCCTGGCCGGCAGGGAGGGGGCCGTTCGGTTCTTGGGGGTGTTGACTGGGTCCGCGTTACCGTACCCCGAAAGTAGACGGTGAAGAGTGTAGGAAGGATAACGTGTCACATCAGGTGTGTGAGAGCATCCCCCCCCAATACAGGCAAATACTTGGCCTATTTGATCAAATTCTTTCTGGATGTTTCTTAGTGATCCTAAAGCAAAATGATTTGACCAAAGGCAAAAAAAGTGGCCAGGCGGGCAAGTGACCACGGGTCCCCTGATTCCCGGTCAGGTACAAACGCAATGAACTTAATTGTGTAGCCCCCATCAGACGCTCGGTCCCTTTCCTGTGGAACCGTGTTGTAAAGAGTCCACAGTGTGAATTGAGCTCATGAGCGTGCGCTCAGTCAGCCTGCCTAGTTCAGACCACGGATGCCAGAAGCGGTTCCATGTGGAACGTTCTAGAAAGTGAGACCGCGCGCTTAAACGCTTTCTTCCGTTTGTCTGGCGCTCGTGCAGAAAGATGCGGTGGGCTTGGTCTCGACTGTGAAGTGGGAAGTCCCTTTTCCCGCCTCCGAGGAGACGTCTCAGGGGGCCCTTCCGCCGCGTGGCATGTCCACCGCAGGCGCTCGGCTTGTCTTTGGGAAGGTCCGTCACTGTCACTGTCACTGTCAGTTCTTTGGGCAGTTAAATAGTTCTTCGTAGGCGAAGATAGAATTGTGGGTGAAACGCCGTCGAGAGATGCTACCGTTCAGTTTTATGAAAATGAAAGGACGTGGGGTTTTGTGGGTGACAGGAGGCCCCCCACCCCAGGGTTTACACGCGGGGCCAGGTGGCCTCTGTTTCTGCTGGGGCAGGTTGTGCCGGCCGCACCTCCCCCTGCCCCAGGGGCCCTGTGCACTGGGGATGAGGACGGGCAGGCCTGGCCGGCTGGCCCCCAGCCAACAGCTCTCCAAGGTCCGGCCTCACCCCACGCCCTCCAGGGAGTCTGGTGTGTGCGAGGGCTTCCCAGCGCTTGGGGACCCTGAGAGCTGCTCCCACCCATCCCACCCTGGGCCCCCCGCCCCCCGCTGCCCCCCGCTCTGGCTCAGCCCTCTCCACATCCATTGTCCCCCTCTCGGTCCACCTCGCTGGGAGTGTGGGGGGAAGGAGACAGTGGCCGCCGCCCCCCACCGTCCTCAGCTGCGTGTACTCCCTGTCGCTTCTGTTTTAAAGATGTTCCGTGGTCTTAAGAATATTTTTTTCCTAACAAGTCGTCATGCACTGCTGCTCTGAGATCACCTTGCCCCGTGTCCTCGGCGGTGTCCAGGTGTGCGCGTAGGAACCGCCCCTCGACCGCGTGTTCACATGTAAATTTGTATTATTACATATGCATTTTAATAGTTTCAATTGTAATCCCATGTATTTTGCTATTTAATTTCTTCATGTTAACCGTGTATTGTGTGTGTAGTAAATTAAAAATTAAAAGCAACAGGTCACACACTGGAATGTCTCCCTCTCATGCCAGGCGCTCGGGCCTGCTCTCGGCGACAGCTCAGTGACCAGGCTCTGGGCAGCAGCTTCCTTCCGGAGGCCCCAGGCCCACGGGAGCTGGGGGGCGGGGTGTGTGCCCCCTCCAGCACCCCGTGTTGTGACGAGGACGGCCACGCTTCCCTCTCCTGATCACCCGGAGGCGACAGCACGCACCAGGTGCTTCCCCTCGCCTTGCAGCTGTGCGCCCCCGCCAGGGTGGGATGGGGTCCGCGTGCCCACACTTCACGCCGGCAGCTGTCCCTTCCTTCGGGTGGGAGGGGTGACAGGCGGGCTCCAAGTCATCTGAGAAGCTGAGGCACATTTGACCACGAGAGTTCCCCTCAGGAGCTCGTGGTGCCAGGACGCCCCGCTGGAGGGCTGTCCGTGCTCGGCTGTAGGTTCTGGACGCAGCAGTGCGGGACAGCGGCACTGACCCAGGTGGGGAGTCTGCCCGCGCTCAGGTCTGTCCCCCACGGGGCTCACAGGGCGGCTGTCCAGAGCCGCAGGGCTGGAGCGAAGGGCTGGCCAGCAGGTGCTGGGCCCCTATGGCCCTGACTCGGGCCAGCCCAACGCCAGTTAGAGTCTTAAACCCGATTAGTGACAGCGCGCGGCAGAGCCGCGGATGAAGTCACCCTTCTGATTGTCAAGGAATAATCACATTATAGTTCTGTAACCTTTACGGGGTAAAGAAGACACCACCACGCAGTAATGTTTCGGGGCTGGAGTTCAGAGGCGGGATGTGCGCTGTTTGCGATGACGTAACGTGTCGCACCGCTGTCCACTTCCTTTACACCTGCTTTGTCCACACTGTGAGGCCCCCCCCGGGTCGTGAGGACTCCTGGAAGGGGACTGGGTGTTGGCAAAACAGTGAGTGATTGACAGAAGGCCGAAACCCCGTCTGCCAGGCGCTCCGCCCTCCCCAGGGCTCCTGGCCCAGGCACGGTGACAGCCCACCTGGGCCCGGTCACCGGCCACGGGCAGGTAACTGAGAGCTCACTTTACTGTAACAGAAAACAGTCACGTTCGCAAATGTTTGGACAACCCGAATCTGACCTCCAGAAGCTTCCTTTGCGGGAAGTGCTCAGTGCTGTGCGTTTCTGTGGAGAGAAAGGCCTCGTGCCCTGTAT